TTCGACGATGAACAACTCTCCAGATAAATTCCCGCAGTGCGACGAGCTTGAAATCATCATCTGCTGTCATACCTGCATTTCGCAGTTTCTTTATCCACAGTTCGTCTTCCTCATTCTTCTGCATTCGCTGGAGAACTTTCGGGTCAAGCTCTTTTCCAGATATACTCGGTAAGGTGTCTTCGGAGGTTCCGAAACTGAAGGTTTGCTGTTGTCTTGCAGGTATCCAGAAGAGGCCTTTGGGTGATGAGCTAGCCCAATTCGATGCCATCTCTATGATGATCTTAGGCAGCGGTCGTTTCAGAGCATCTAGTATCTTCAGTTCTGAAAAGTCGGACGGCACGACTTTCAAATAAGGTCTGATTAAGTTGACCAAGATGCTGTGAGTATCCGCCACAGAGAGATACTTCGAAGCTGCTGATATGAATTGAGCTGCTGCTTCCCGTATCCAACTGTTGGGGTGCATGGTCAGGCGAGCAACTATATCCACCAGCTCCCATGTCTTGGACCGTTGGAATAAACCAAGCTCTGCGATTGAAGAAAGAGCGCGAATCACTTTTTCAACCACAAATTCTTCTGGATCGGTCAGTGCCTGCACCATCAAGGGCAGGATGTACCCTTCCAGACTCGCGCCTCCGACAAATACCGCGACACCTACGATGGCCTCAAAGAATGCGCATTTCAACATCCAGTCTGGATCATTCAGGTACGTATTCAGGTGACTTAGCACGACATCGTTGGCTTTGGGGCTTCCGAAGAAAACGCATAGTTCAGATACGGATTTGAGCATGGCACGGCGTACAGCAGCGTCAGAGTCAGTTAGAAGCGCTTTGGTATGATCTTCGAACGCATTGACAAGAGTTTGTCGATCCGAATCGAATTGATTTCGATGAGCGGAAGATGTCAAATCTTCCTCTGTTTCAGGGTCGGAGACAGGGAGAGTGCCTCCAGCACGCAGAGCCTGGACAATATCCAGATAGCGGGCAGCAGTTGTAGCCAATGGGCCGATACACCATGCATAGTGCATACGTATAAGTGGGGATGTTGGTGAGGTGGAGCTCGGGAGATAGGCTTCTAATCGAGGCAACACATATTCAGGTATTACGTACGCGTTGATTGGCGATACAACGTTGACCATGGCTAGGATTTGTGTCATTGTTCGCAAAGCCGCTATCTTTACCTGCTCAGATCTATCTGTTAATAAAGATGCTGCGTATGGTACAACTCGGTCAAGTTTGGCTTCATCTGTGAGCCGTTCAGCGAAGGCTAAAAGCAACTCTAAGCCTCGGAGTCGAGCTGACGCCCTAGCTGTGCCTCTCAAACAGGAGACAACAATAGTCAGAAAGATGAGATTGCCATCGTCTACAGCCAAACTCGGCGTTGGTGTGGCCTGGTGCTGATAATTTGGAATGTCGATACAAAGCGGGAAAAGCTTCGCATTGGGCTTCGGGGGTGAATGCTGAGGTTTGGAAGCTAAATTGCCTTCGTTGTTCGAAAGTAGATGTGAAATCTTATCGAAATCGCTGAAAATCTGTTCTATTCTTTCGTCCGGCTCACCAAGATGTTCTGTCGCTGTTGTAACCGGCTTACGACCAGATGACGAGTCTGTGATGGAATGCATGTATTGCTGGAGAAATCCGTAAAAATAATGCGGAAAAACCTTGCCTCGCCAATGTTCGAGATAGTCTTCGGCTGACATGCGGGAATTTGGATCAAGTTGTATCATGTGTGCAATAAGGTCTCGAACATCCTTGTCTTGAATCTTGCTTAGATGCGAGTGTGTAGGATCATACTCTCCTTGTCGATATCTGAAGATTTGACTTAACGAGAATATGGGAGATTCGATAAAGAGCTCGGCTATCACACATCCTACACTGAATATGTCCATGGCCCACGTTATAACACCTTCACCTTGCGGCTGAACCTCGGGGCCGAGAAAACGCTCTGGGGCGAGGTAGCAGGTACGGCGTCCAGACATATCAAAGTAGAAGGAGAAATCGGCTGGGTTGTCCTCGGGTAAGTATGCCGGTTTGTAGGAAGCAGAGAAATCGGTGAGATAAAGCCAGTTCCAGGATGTGACGAGTACATTTTCGGTTTTGATATCGCCATGATAAAGATTACGAGCATGGCAATCTCGCACAGCGCAAAGCAGTTGGAATGAGAGCCACTTCTTCTCGATCTCTTCCAGGAATGGACGGGTGCTGTAGAACGTTAATGCTATTCGCATTTTTTGATTCGATATGCTTACCTCAGTCGATCATAGAGAGAACTGTGTATGTATTGGCGGACAAGATATCCCCCAACCGCAGTCTCGATGATACGGTTGTAGCCCAGGGCATTTGGCACATCTGCGAGTAGTTTTCGTTCCTCTAAATAATATTAGATAAACCAAGAAACCCGGAAAACGTTGGATTTCGCTTTATGCTGGATTCTAAAAAGAAGAAGTACCAACCAGAAAGACGTTTAGCATAGACATCTAGGTTGAACTGGGCATATGGCTTCATCACTACTCTTGTGACAACCAGCCCATCTCTATGACGTGCTCGGACCGATTTCATGAACCGGGCAGCACCGAGAGACTTTTCATACTGAAGATCCGAGAGCTCCGGCACATCGATGTTGGCCGAGCCAGCGGAAAGCGTAGTGAGAGAGAAGCCTTGCCCCATGGTGACAAACGAACTAGGCTATCTTATGGATGCCTCCCGGGGCGCATGTTGAGGGTGTAATATATGGAGGTTTGCGGGGCTTCGAGCGTGGCGATCTATCGAACCATTATTGAAGTAGTATGCAGGGGAGACAGATAATGTCGTCGCGTTTGTAGAAGTGACTGCTTATGTGCTTCAAACGTCGTTTGGAATCATGTGCAGTCGAGGTCATCCACCGTCGTTCACCAGCCACGTTCCTAGCCATCAGAAGCTATTCCACAAAGGGAAAGGCTCGACTGGAGGCACATTCATGTTAGCCCCACGTAAACACGTATTTCTCTGTCTTCAACGACAGCGCCGAAGTGCCATTTTATTATGGCTTCGAACAAAAAAGAAAACGTTGTGTTTTTCCACCCTGACCTGGGTATTGGTGGAGCCGAGCGCCTGGTCATCGATGCTGCAGTAGGCCTACAGAACCGCGGGCACAAAGTCACCATCTTCACGTCGCACCGCGACACCCGCCACTGCTTCGACGAAGCCCGCGATGGTGAGCCTCCTGCGATGCTTTGCAACTCCCGTCGCTTATGTGTGAATACAAGGTAGCTGAGACTCTTTCCCTGAGATAAGGTACCCTCGACGTGCGCGTGCGCGGAAACACCGTCATCCCTCCGACAATCCTGGGTCGCTTTGCCATACTTTGTGCCATCCTCCGGCAGGTACATTTAATACTCCAGATTGCTCTATTTTCTAGCGAGCTCGCCGATATCAAGCCTACCGCCTTCTTCGTCGATCAGCTCAGCGCTGGCATCCCCCTCCTCCGCATACTGCAATCCAAAGTCCGCATCATCTTCTATTGCCACTTTCCGGACAAACTGCTTGCGAAGAAGGGCGGGTTGTTGAAAACGTTATATCGAGGGCCGTTCGATTGGTTGGAGAGCTGGAGCACAGGATGTAGCGATACGATCGTGGTGAACAGCAACTTCACGAAGGGTGTCTTTGCCGAAGCCTTCCCCAAATTGACGTACAGAAAGCCCGGCGTCGTCTATCCCTGCGTTGATACCCAGAGCGAGAGTCCTGTTGAGGAGGTCAAGCCTCTGTGGGAGAAGAAGAAGGTTCTGCTCAGTATAAATCGCTTTGAGAAGAAGAAAGATGTTGCGCTAGCCATCAAAGCATTTGCAGGTCTCTCGCCGCAGGAGCGCAAGGATGCCAGATTGGTCATCGCCGGCGGATACGACCCTCGAATTGCAGAGAACGTCGCAACATACACCGAGCTCTGCGAACTGGCCGACTCGCTCAAGCTGAAGCATGCCACTGCGAAGACTGTGGTAACTGCACAGGCAATCCCCGATGATATTGCCGTTCTCTTTCTCCACTCTGTACCTAATGCGTTCAAAGCTACGCTGCTTTCTACGTCCCGGTTGCTGGTCTACACCCCGCGCAACGAGCATTTCGGCATCGTCCCTCTCGAAGCTATGTTAGTAGGCACTCCTGTCCTTGCCGCAAACGAAGGTGGTCCTACCGAAACAGTCGTCAGTGGACAGACAGGGTGGTTACGCGACGTAAGCAAGGTGCAAGATTGGACAGAAGTCATGCGCATCGCTCTGGAAGATGGCGAGGGTGAAGAACGGTTAAAGGAGATGGGTAAATGGGGCCGTGAGAGGGTCATATCTACATTTTCAAAGGAAAAGATGGCTGAGACGTTAGAGACGGAGATCCAAGATATGGAGAAGAAGACTGTGCGACCACCAGTGATGCCCTTTGAGGCTGCAGTGCTGGCGGTTGCTGTGATGGGGGCTTTGGCTGCATTTTCCATGTGGACCAGTATTAAGCAGGTGCAAGAAGCCGGAAAGATATGAGATAGACAATATTGCGCGCAATAGCGCCTTCAATTGTACATGTGTATAACTCTCTTGTAAATTCACCACATAGCAAATATAGTAAATCCTTCGCAGCAACGCTTACATGAGTAGCCCCACGAGCACCTGGTATTCGCACTTCTCCTATTCAAGTTCTCTGAAAGCCATAGTGTGAGGTTTGTCGACTAACACGCAGAATATAGCTAAAAAAACACCGATTTTTTCTTAAATTATCTCCAAAAGCCGCAGAACTCATTCCAAGAGCAGCCTTTCACAAGCCAGTCATAGCCACAGCCTCCGCGCACTGCTTAACCACTAAGAAGCTCCGCTCTGTTTTCCGGTGGGTCTTCTGCGAAACACTAAAACAGGCAGAACGAAAAGTGGGGCAAATTTGGCAGGAAAACTTTGCCTCATGCAGCGCCCAAACGCATCACCCTTCAAAGCCCACTTTGTATATAAGAAGTTTGAGCTCTCTTCTTTTCACAAATCAAGTGGCATCAACTCCTGTGTAGTGTAGCGGTTATCACACTGGATTTTGATATCAATATCAAAAGTCTTCCAGTAACCCCAGTTCGAATCTGGGCACGGGATCACTTGCAAGTCGCTTCTTTTGCTTTTTTGCGGTTTTTTTAACACAGATGGAAAATTCGGCTGCGCTTTTACATGGGTACGAGATGGCTTGGTATACAGGCTTTTTTTCGCGCGTATAGGTGCTTGGAGTTTTCAAATAGTGTGGATGCAAAATAGGACATATATGGCCTTTAAACAATGGAGGTAAACTGTACAACTCCCTCGGTATGGACGGAACATTTGCTTCGTTCCCAATCTTCGTGCAGCCAGCAACATCACACTAGAGTATATCTTATATTGCAGAATGTTGACCGGTGTTTGCTGGCTGGTTGCATCCAAGGAATGGATAGGTCCAGCCATCAAAAGCGTCACCTCTTGCAAATCCTCTTCCTTGGTAAATAGCCGCAAGGCCTATCTCGTAAAACCAGCTAAAAGATCGAAACGGGATTATTAATTAGTGGAACAACTTCCCAAAATGTCTTTCCTTCTTAACGAAATACTTGTGGCTGAGCTTCCACACAACTGCCACCCGCTGGTAGATACTTCCACTGTGGTAGCAACTTTGGAACCGCTCCTAGGTGATACACAGCACACATGAGCACTGCAGCGCTTCGACCGATAAATTTTGACAAGCAAGCTCCTGAGACGCTAGATCAAGCCGGGCGGGTACTTGAAGACGCTGCCGAATATCTGTCTGGTAAGACTACGCGTAAAGCAGTATCACACATACATTGAATGCCATTGCTTCTTTCAAGGCAAACATACAGTTGGGTAACTAACAAACAGTAACTCAAGCTCACTCACCGGAAACAAAACACACGGGAAAAGCAAACGTCTGCGCGATGCCGACAAATAGCCAGCAGATCAGGTGGAGACCGCGACGGGAACTAGTTGAGTTGTAACACATGCATTATTATCCCAGATTGTGCTACTCGTGATCCGCACCGCCTTCCTTTCCATCGCTAACTACCGTGACTGTTTCAACAAGATTTCAAGCGTGCGTGCCCACTCACCAACATTTGCAAAACCTGAACCTCGCGCGAATCTGCAGGCAACACCAAACACTAGATCCTCGAAATGGCACATGCGTGGGATACCTATCACTTGCTCCTGCGTTTCTAGAACAAGACACTTCGGATACATAGTTGTTTGCCCTGTAGTACAACTATCCGAGGGATCCACATGAATGTATGCATGTGCAACCGACTCCTATCGGCGATGTTTGCTTGCTAACAGTTTTAGACAAGTCCATCAATATGGCTCCCACCTGTCCTATCGATATGAAAGCAGCATGCATGTACTTAAGAAGTCAATTCCCCCCAGGTATCCTGACCATTGAGCAGTGATCAACTCCTTCGGTCCACAACATCGCCGACACAGGATCGGTTTTTATATATACTTTTGAAAAAAATTTATACAACAACCCGCGCTGATAGGTTGAAAACAGAAGGAAGGTATGTAGAGAGAATTATTACAACTTTTACTAGCTAACTTGTACTAGCACTTCTCATGTGGGAGGCGTACGGTAATCAAGTGCAATCAATTAACACATCAGGTTTTACTCAGCGCCTCCTAACATGCCCCCAAAATGACCCTATACAACCTAAATACCAGTATAAGGGACGAGCCCTACAGATGAAAGTAGGTTCTCGCGATATAAGTCTTATAAAAGTGATCCTAGGGCAGGACACGAACCCTCCAAGCGCACAGCCAATAGCCCAACCTCGTCCACAAACAACCTCTCCGCTTCGTCCAACAAACAGCATACAAATGAGCCTCGCCGTTTGCATCATCGCGGCAGCGGTCGAGATCTTCGCGATCTGCGAGCCACGGACAGACTTCAAGGCGAGTACCTGCAAATCATCAAGGCTGGGATCACAAAGCTAACGCGAGTGCAGAAACTCTCCGAGGCGACCTCATTGAACTACTGCAACAACACTGGGTCTCACGATTACTTCTGAGCTCTATGTAGTGCAGAAGACGTGGACTGACGACGAAAAGGCCTGTGGAAAGCTAGTACGACTATAACGCGCCATCACTGGGTTAGTATCAACCCACGGTCTAAGGTTCCACTAGTCTCGTGAGGGTCTTCAAGTCTTGCGCGTCCCTCTTCACTCTCCTAGGGACATGAAGGCGTTGATAAAGAAAGAGAAGGACTTCAAGGACTACAAGAACATCACCAAGTCTTCGTCCCTGACTACAGTGACTGGTTCCGGAAGTATCTGAAATCTCGCGCGCGCCTGGTTGTGCACAGGAGCTCGGGCTGGCTGATGGTCATCACCTTCTTTGACCTCACGATCTTGCCTTCTTTAGCCTCATCACGCCGCCTTCCTTGGCTTCACGACCACTTTCTCATTCGCTTCACGGCCTCATCTTCCACTTGACGACATTGTCTCCATCTGTCTCAGAACCCCACCTTAATCCACCGGACGACCTTCACCTTCTGCGTCAAGCTTCATCGCCATGCCAGGTCAGCTGCACGGCTGGGGCAGAAGCGCAGAGGGAACACTGCCCGAATCCCATGCGTATCCCGCTTTGGAGGACTTATTATATACAACTATTCACCTATCGTATACGGATCCAGCTCCTATGCGACGACACACAAAAGAATGCGTCGCCAGTGATTCATCGCCTACATTTATACACCACACACACACACTTATATACTACCTCTCTTCAACTGTAACAAATATATACCTTCGACCATGCGCGCAGCTATCTCACTTCCAGCCGTCTTAGCGAGATTCAATATACGCTCGACAGCATCCAAGGACTGTCCGTCTCTTGTGGATAACTATGGTTTCTTTAATAGCGCACAGCCAATAGCCCAAGATAAGAGTTAATTGCCTGAGGAAAAACCTGCCAGCCTAGAGGACTATCCTGCGTAGAAATGCAATGCTCCTACGCACAGGGATCATGTTTATGGTATAGGCCTAGAGACAATAATTCCTGTAACTACAAATACGTGTCCAGTATACAGGAGTTGTTATATTTCTGGACACATATTTATAATCCTAACTGTTGTCAAGTGCAGAAACTAAGAGAAAATAGTATTATTCTACTAGGTTTCACCCTCCTAAAAGGTGTCACCTTTTTAAAGGTTAAGCCTGACTACCGTGTCAACAACGATGGCATCCTCATCGACATTGACAAAAACTAGGTCCCTGGGTGTCTTAAAAACCTAGGAGGGTTAGCTGATAACAGTGAAAGCTAGCCAGGAGACGACCCTTCGCCTGGAGAAGATAGTGAATCGTCCACACCTGACTCCGGCCCTTCACTTTCTGGTGCAGCTCAGAAGCGCGGTCACGAGGCTGGTGGGCGAGTGACGAAGAACCAAGAAACGAAGAACCAAGAAACGAAGAGCTGAGTGACGAAGAATTATGAGGTGCGATGGGGCTGCTCTCTTATTTGAACTATTTACTTTGCCCGCCTACGTTTTGATTGTTCCTAGCGTTTTCTAAAAATTACTACCTATGTAGTTGACTGCGCCGATCCAAGTTGTACTTCACGTACGGGCCACCGAAGATGCAACAGGCAAATGACAACAACAACTTAGTTGCAGATGCAGCTGTCCCACATTAGGACGTAACCCACCTGCCGGGGACTTTTCCATCAAGAGCGGTCGACACGAGTTTACTATACATCGAACGCAAGTCCGGATACCCTTCGACGACATGGCTCATGCAGAATTCGGGCTTGGTCAACAATGCGGACGACGTGTACTTTATCTAGTTTAGACACTCCACTAAGCTGTCTGCGGTCCCTAAGTTCCCGTGCGCAGCCCTCCACATAACGTGGGAGAACTCTAAATAGCGAGAGATGGTGCCGTCTGGAGGGGCTTGTGGCACGATACGTGGTATCCCCAGGTTCACTTGACCGAATTTCCGGAGCGGTTGGTGTACGGAGACAGCGACTCACGGATGCCTTTGATCGCTCGCGGCAGGGCAAGATGCTGAATGACTTTGAACTAAACACAAAAGTCCGCAAAAAGGCCAATTGGAAACAATGACTCGTTGACCCTGGCCTGTTCGATTCTTCTGTCCCAAGACCTGGAGTGGGGAGCAGGATGTCGCAACAAGGGCACCTACTACCAGACCATCGTTGACTACAGAATCACTCAAGTACAGCTATGGCAACGGAATCAGCCGCCAAGGTGTCTCGCGGTTTGTGGGATAGATTGACCGATTTCTTTGATGTTCTTAGGTTTCCTTTGTTCACTGATTACTAGCAAATAGCTAGCGCTGGATGAAGCTTCTGGGTACGCGAAGAAGAACGGTGTAAACGATCGGTTGGTAGTAGACGGTGAATGAACCAATATTTGATGGGTCTGCCAATACAAGTACCCAGCATGTACATATTAGAGCTCTCTCTCGATATCTGAATATCAGCTTCTTCCTCACATTTTGCCCTAGCCATTACTGTGACCTTCCCCAGAAAATCCTGACGATGTCGGAAGAGCAACAGGTTTTCCTTTTTTCATGTTGGAAAGATTCATCTACAATGTTTGAGCGGTCAAAGATGCGACCATACTCTCTCTCTCTCTCTCTCTCTCTCTCGTTAGGCCAGAAAACTTTCTTTACAACATCAACAGCAGCCGCAAGAAAAAGGGACAATAGGCACTCCGACGATTTTTCGCACCTAGACGACGAGGACTGTGACGCCAGCGGTAGGGAGGACGGCAGCAATTGAAGACTGGAGGAGATGAACGACGGCCTGACCTCCAAAAAAACAGGCTGCTAGGTAAAGCTATTAGGCTGATTACACTGGCAATGGAGCCCTTGCTTCGCGAAGAGGCATCTGATCAACTGAAGAACTGAGTTCGGGCCTGTTTGGAAGCGGAGGACTGATGCAACATGAGGGGCATGGGGAGTACGGCATGTTCAAATGTCTTCAATGTCAGACAAGATCAAGCCAGGTGGGGGAGGGGGGGGGGGGGCGCGCAGGTGACACGCTTTCGCTACCAAGACTTTTCTTGTGCCAAAGCCTGTGGTGAAGTTCAAGCAACAAGACGAAACAGAATA